TTTTTTTGGTTTACATCCCACACCCAGATTACTGCAACAGCTGAAAAAAACATTTTTGTAACTTAAGGGTATCGATACTAGGCAACCACAACTGATTCAGTTTGTTGCTGAAAATATATGGAATTTCATCTTATTATTCATATTCAGTACACGGTGGAGTCGCCAATTTTGTTTAGCAATATAATGGGTGATTTTTTTGCTAGTATCTTTTTGGCAACACTGTTTTTGACAGATGACGCGTGAATCGTGTCTTGTGTCATTGTCAAACTTGTTCAGTTTGGTCTATAATTTAATCATGAATCGACTTACGAACGAACAACGCTTGCAAAATTATTGAATTTTACTATCAAAATTCATGCTCGGTTAAGAGAGTGCATCGAGCACTGCTTCCAATTTATGGGAAATTTGGTCGGCCTACTGAGGGAGCTATTCGGAAGCTTGTGACTAAATTTCGAATCCAGTTTACATTATTGGGCATTAAACCACCAACACGCAGACGTAGACTGAGGACTGAAGAAAATATTGCGGCTGTATCCGCCAGTGTTAGTGATGACCGTGAAATGTCGATTCGCCGCCGTTCGCAGCAATGGGCCTCTGTTACTCCACTATTTTTTGCGACAGGATTTGGGTGTAAAACCGTATAAGATACAGCTGGTGCAAGAATTGAAGCCACACGACCTCCCACAACGTTTCCAATTTGGTGAATGGGCGCTGGCAAAGTTGGAGAAAGATCTACATTTTTATCGAAAAATTGTGTTCAGCGACAAAGCTCATTTCTGGTTGAATGGGTACGTTAACAAGCAAAATTGCCGCATCTGGAGTGAAGACCAGCCAGAAGCATTGCAAGAGCTACCAATGGATCCCGAAAAAATCACTGTTTGGTGTGGATTATGGGCCGGTGGCATCATGGGGCCGTACTTCTTCAAAGACGACAATGGCCGGAACGTAACTGTGAATGGCGAGCGCTACCGTGCGATGATAACAAACTTTTTTTGCCCAAAATGGAAGAGCTGGACTTGGCTGACATGTGGTTTCAACAAGGCGGTGCCACACGCCACACCGCACACGAAACAATGGCCCTATTGAGAGGCGAAATCGGTGAACAGTTTATCTCACGTTTGGGGCCCGTCAATTGGCCGCCTAGATCGTGTGATTTAACGCCGTTGGACTATTTCTTGTGGGGCCATGTTAAGGCTAATGTCTACAGGGATAAACCAGCAACGATTGACGCACTGGAAGCCAATATTGAAGCATTTATTCGTGAGATACCGGCCGATCTGTTGGAGAGAGTGTGCCAAAATTGGACCTTGCGCATGGGCCATCTAAAGCGGATCCGCGGCCAACATTTACATGAAATTATCTTTAAACATTAAATTATATCGACCGTTCTATCGACTCAAATAAAGATTTAATCTTTTTTTCAAATTTGTTGTGTTTTTTTTTTGAAAATCAAATCCTATACCTCTTAAAAAATCACCCGTTATTAAGCTTGATTTGAATTCTATTATCTACAACCTCTGTGAGAAAACTATAACAGAGATTTTCTAGTAGGTACCTTCAGAGGCATACAAGCTCGAGCAAGGTGACTAACTTGGTACTTTTTCAAAATGTCCGTACGTACAAATAAAAAATCATTAACACACAGATATTGTCTTTACAAGTAGATGAAGAATAAGCCTTGCTAAAGATCTAAATGTTTGAGCATCATAATAATGTTTTTGAATCGGAAATTATCGGAAATTTTCAAAATTGTAGCATCTCCAATGTCTGATCACGCTAAAAATTTTCAGAAGTTTATAAACCGTATAAAATAAACTTTAGGAATGATATGAAACTGTTTTGTTTTTCGCTGATAATTAGCAAAGTAGCATTATCTAATGAGATCCCACAGTATGCTGCTCCCCAAAATGTCATTCAAATCGGCCATTTCCCAGATTACGAGAGTAAAATAACGCCAACAAAAGGACGGTAGTAAAGCATAAGTTTGTTATTTTGCTGTCTTCATTCATTCATTCATGTTATTCATTCCAAGCATTTTTGTTTCTTTTGTAAGAAATCTTTTCCTCGAACATTCACTCTCCATTTCGAATTGCGAAATCGCTGATATTGTCTTTGTGTTATGTAGCAATTATTTCAATCGTCATTCTCGACACCGCCACCCTGTAGATTACTTACTTATCACATCTCTATTAATTTAAATGTACAGTATCTCTTGGTCATATTGATGCTAGCAGCGACCTCTAGTTGTGAATTCATCGTTTAGAAGAATCCTTGCATTGCTGTAAAATCGATACACTAAACATTTTTACTCCACCGCATTGCTTTTCGTAAAGTCATAGCCGAGTGGAATAAGACACAAAATCTCTAAAATCGACAACAAAAATATTTTCATTACTGGTAGAACATAGAGTTACAATCACAGTCCCATTACTTTTTTTGTTATCTTGTACGGAGTCCCTGGTAAAGTTTTAGTGATATACGGGGTCTGTAAATAAAGTGATAAGACTGGCAACATAGCGTTCGATCTGGCAACCCGGGAGGCGCCTGGCTTGGAGGAGATACAGGGGAACATATGATCCCGCTTCAGAACAAGTTTGAACTCACTCGAGTCATTTGGTTGTCCTTAGCGTTTATTTTTGTGAAACATTTTTTCCTAATGTGTTCTGAAAATGAATGACATCAATTTCGAGCAACAGTGTGGTGTCAGGTTTGGCATCACACTTGGGCACAGTGCAACGGAAACTCTTGCTAAACTTCAGAAGGCCTACGGAGATAGTGTCGAGAGCCCAGGGTTTTCGAGGTTTAAGGCATTTTCAGATGGGAAAGAGTTGATTGTAGATGAACCACGAAGCGGAAGGCCTTCATCTTGAAGAAGCGATGAAAATATCGACAGAATCCGGGATCTTGTGCCTTCAGATCGTCACCGATCAAGAACAACTGGTTGTTGCACCACGATATTGCTCCTTATCACGGTCAGTAAACAAGTTTTTGGCCAGCAAAAACATTCCTATGCTCCTCAGCCTCGTTATTCGCCTGACTTGAACCTTGTGACTTTTTTCTCTTCCCGAACTGGAAAAATCACCTCACGGGAACTTATTTTGAGAGAGCCGAAAACATTCAAATGGCTGTAACCGACCTGTTAAATGCTATTCCAGTATTGGAGTCCGAGCACTGCTATGAAGAGTGGAAGAACCGTCTCCAGCGCCGTTTGGCTTCAGAAGGAAGTTATTTTGAGGGTGACAATATAATAGTAATTTTATTTGAATAAAAAAAAATTAAAAAATCGTTCTCATCACTTAATTTACAGACCTAGTATGTAATCAGTGAACTCGCGTTAGATTCAATTATGTACTCATACAAATATATTTGCCCATTATACAGTATCATAAAAGAATCATTTTTTCTGAAGTTGTGAGTTTCATCACATGACTCTTCTCAGCACCTGAGTCTCAATAGTACAAAAGATATGAATATCAAATTTCGAGAAGGTTTGATTATATTTAGGAGTTGCACACTTTGATCGAACTACTAGCGTTAACAGGTAGGTACAGGGTGCGTCATCTATTACTTTTTTCTATTTGAAAAATCAACACGAATTTTTTTTTATTGCTAAATGAAGGTTGGTTTATGCCATTTATGTATGAAAAATAACATCAGTCATGTCACCACCGCGGCTTCGTTTACATCAGGCCAACATCCGAACATCAAAATTTTCAATGACTTTTACCAGAATAATCGGGTCTATGACCGCAATTTGAGTGCGAAGATTGGTCTTGAATTGTCCCGGGACCATTCGCACATACTTTTCCTCTCAAAAATCCCCAAAGAAAATAGTCAAGAGGTGTTAAATCGCATGATCTCGGGGGCCAATTGACATCTGAATTTCGTGAAATTATGCGGCCTTGAAACTTCGTGTGTAGTAAGGCGATTGTTGGCGAGAAGTGTGAGCCGTTGCTCCGTCTTGATGAAGCCAAAGATCGTCGGGACCAATACGATCCAATTGTGGTCACAGAAAGTCTGTTAACATGCCGCGATAACGTTCCCCGTTGACGGGGGGGGAATGTACAAGGATGCCACCAGCCCATAATCCGCACCAAACTGTCACTTTTTCAGGATGGAGAGGTTGTTCATGATATTGGTGTGGATTTTCAGCCCCCCAGAATCTATTTTGCTTATTTACGTATCCATTCAGGTGAAAATGAGCCTCATCAGAAAAGAGCACTTTGGCCGAAAATCCATCTTCTCTTTCTAGCATCCGCTGTTGATGGTCTGCCGGATTCAGTTCTTGTGTTAGTTGGATTTTGTATGGATGGAGGTGTAAATCAATGTGTAAAATCCGGCGAAAAGTGGTCTCACTAATTCCCAATTGTTGCGAACGGTGCCTAGTCGAGGTGGTTGGATCTTCTCGCACACTTTCACTCACTGCGGCTATGTTTTCACGAGTACGAGCTGGACGAGCATGTTGGTATGGTCTACGACCTTCAGCTGAGCCAGTTTCCTCAAAACGATTAACAATCCAACGAATTCCAGGCTCTGTAGGGCGTCCATGTCGGCCAAAACTAGTGCAAAGTTTGCGAAAAGTATTTTTTATATTTCGACCGTTTTCGTAATAAGTTTGGATAACCAAAAACGCGTTGTTTTGTTGTAAACGAATCCATGACTATAAATGACACATCTTTAACAGTTCATTTATGCATACCACATGACTTTTGACTCACATGGTAACACATAAACTTATAGGTAAAAAAACGTAATAGATGACGCACCCAGTATTATGATAATGATAAATACTACTCTTTTGTTATCCAAGATTCTCGACTACCCTCACTAAGTATATTATTTTTGGAAATAGTCTCTACTCTATTCGTTGATTTTCAAGATCTTTTCCTGTGTGAACACGATTCAATTGCCAGAAAAGTTCTGAGTTTCCTGTTATTTTTCCCTTACTATTACTGTGGTAAAAGGCTGAGTACAAAGGTGGACCAATCAATATTTACACTTAATGTAATGCGTTTATGAAACATGACCGTATATAGGGCATTAACCTAGCAACTGGTACTAAGCAACCAACAAAATGTGATATAAACAAATAATTATGAAACCTAGTAGGCATATGCGTGATTAGAAATGAATACTAATCTATTATTTTAGAGAAACATGTACGGAATGCTTTGAAATATAAATGAAACATGATTTCCAGAAAAGATAATCTACTTGTAAGACCTTGGGAAGAAAGAAAATACCTTCACCATCGCCAAAAGGTGAGTTTACGTTCATTACTGTTTATTTTAAAGTAGATAAATCATATTAACTCAATTTTGAGATACAAGATTATTTAGGTTTCAGCTTATACATTTTCTCGGTAGGTGGCGAATAATAGGCAATTTACTTTCCGCGCACGCGTAATATATTAAGTTTTTTTAGAAAGATGCTACTGTACGTGCCTACTTCTAATTAAGCACGTAAGAAACCAAGTGGGGCGATTATAAATAGCAGAAATAGTTCAAGGACAGAAAGTACTTTCAAAAATCAGAAGTAAGACGGATATATTTTATAAATATATGTTTTTAAACTGCCCCATTAACGAGTTATATTTAAGTTGAGGGAAAAATTTACGAGTAGTGGATGAGAACGTAATCTCAAAGTTTTATGCGTATATCGTACAACAAAGATGTTCTCCATTCAAACTGAAAAATTGACATAAGTGGCGTAGAACTGTTAGCACGTAGGTATATTTACAGTACCTATACGAAAATCAAGAGTTCGCCACTTTTGGCCAAACAGACGGGTTAAAAATCGCTTTTAATTAAAGCAATCTCAAAATACTCTCCGGAGTCTTCTACAGTAAAGTAGAAACTTCAATTTAGTCACTTCAAAGTTTTGATTTTTTTAACCTACTTTTTAATCATTAAATATACCCATTTTAGGGTATTTTCAGACGTTAAATCGCTTGTATCTCGAAAATGGTCAGCTTTAGACCGAGGTTAATAAAGCCTTTTTTATTCGGAATGTTCCAAAAAATCTGAAAAAAACTTAGCTAAGCAAAAAATATTATAATTTGTTTAAAAAAAAATGGTTAAAAAAATTTTCGCAGACTACCTTACTATATAACATTTTAAGGGGGCGATTTTTGAATCCACTTTTTGAAGAAAACTTCGTATAAACGTATGAGCTAAATGTCTTAACTTTAGAGATACAGAGTGATGAAGTTTTCAATATAGAAAGTCAGTGGCGCGCTACTAACTTTTCTTAAAATGAAAAACCTGTATTCATTTATGAGCAGATTTGATCCCTTGATTGTTTTTTCCCGACGCACGTTTCACCTGAAAATTGAACCTATTTCTTTGTCATATTAACATTATGATCATGCAGAGAAACGCTTTTTGTTTTTAAGCGAAAACCGTGCATCGGATTGAAAACCTCAAGCTATCAAATTTGATTAGAAATGAATGGGGATTTCAAGAATAATTTTTATTTTAAATCAATAGCTAACAAAATAGCTATTGGAGGAAATTAAAAAAATAGTACAGTAAGAAAAATGCCTCTTGAGACAAAATATATAAGTATCTGTAATATCTGTAATTTTATTAATAAATTATTTATTTTTTAAAACTCTACCACCTCGTATCTCAAACGTTGAGACGTTTAAGACATGCGTTCATATGAGGTTTTCCTCTTGAAATGGAGAAAAAATTGTCCTCTTAAATATTGACATTCAATGAGGAAACACTCTGTATACTTTTTTGTTTAGTAATATTGCCATATTGAATTGAATATATATATATATATATATATAATATGTTAATCCTGTCGAGTACATCAGACAGAAATCTATACTAAGTGACATATAAATCCGAACACCCAGTTTAAATGGTTTTATTTTAATAAAAGTTGGTGAATGTATTTATCTTACTGTAAATAACAAGTGAAAAAATTTTCAGCCTTATCAGTTGGACATTCCGCTTTTTATACTGCTTTTTTTTAATTTACTAACGCTCTAAAAATGAATATTTCAGCCGCAGTAAAGAATCAACGTTGGCGAATTTTGGTTCTTGACATCCTTTACGATCGGTAACGATGCCTAGAGTACGGAGACCTGTACGATTTCGTCAACTTAGTGAGTTTGATAGGGGCCGTATAGTGGGACTTCGGGAAGCTGGACTTTCTTTTCGGGCAATTGCAGTTAGAGTGCAAAGAAGTGTAGACACTGTGGTTAGGTGTTGTCAGCCATGGCTTCGAGAAGGCCGTACGCAAAGAGCAAGGGGCACTGGACGCCGCCGTAGAACAACAGACCGTGAAGATCGCCGCCTAAGATTATTGGCCTTAAGGGACCGTTTCTCCACTACCAGGTCCACTGCAAATGAATGGTTTGCAGAACACGGAAGACCTATTGGCATGCGAAGTGTTTACCGACGAATGAGAAGTTTTGGCTTGTTTTCAAACCGGCCACACTGGGTCCTCCCTTTAACTCTAGAACACCGACGTAATCGCCTTGAGTGGTGCAGACAACGGTCACTCTGGGATCAGGAATGGAACAGTATTGTCTTTAGTGACGAGTTTCGATTTTGTTTAGGCATGCACGATGGTCGTGCCAGGGTTAGAAGGCGACGTGGTGAAAGGAGGAATCCACAGTTTTTTGTTGAAAGACATGTTCATCACACTCTTAGTTATGGTTTGGGGTGCTATAGCGTATGGTTCCAGGTCACCTTTAATCTTCATCAGAGGTAACATGAACGCGCAGCGTTATATCCACGAAGTTCTAGAACCCCATCTTTTACCCTATCTTGACACCTTGGCAGATCCAACTTTCCAACAAGATAATGCCCGACCACATGTTGCAAGAGTCACAATAGACTTCTTTCAACATAATGATGTCACATTGTTACCATGGCCACCAAGATCTCCCGACTTATCCCCAATTGAGCACGTGTGAGATATGATGGATAGGAGATTGCTCAATTTGCAACGTCCTCCTCAGACTCTAGAAGCACTTCGAGAGGAGTTGGTGGTTGCCTGGAATGAGATACCACAGGAGGACATTGACCACCTGATCAGAAGCATGCCTAGGCGCGTTGGAGAATGCGTAGCACATCAGGGTGCATCCACACATTATTAAAGGTCAAAGAGCTTTAAAGCAGTACAATTATTGTGAAATTTTTATCATTTAATTATTATGCTTCATTAAGTACATATACAAAATTTTATTAAAATAAAACCATTTAAACTGGGTGTTCGGATTTATATGTCACTTAGTATATTACCAGACAGATGCCACCTACTAAGTTAGGTATATCTGAAAATCGTTCTTTCATTTGAAGTTTTTTCACTATTACAGTATTTCCCTGACCTATTGACTTGAGTGAAAGAATGAGCACCTTGTATGAATCTGAATATGAATTTTTAAGAGAAATGTGTACGCCCAATAATTTGCAGAAATCATATAGCTCTGAGATGACGAATTTTAGACCTGGGTATGGGTACACAAAAATTTGCGATATAGCAAGAATTCGTCATATACCTACATATATCACATGTTGTTTGCAAACGACTAAATTATTACTCAAAAAATCATCTCGCACAATATTTGCATGAAGGTTTCAGAAAAATAATCCTAGGTAGCTTTCCATTTTCATATGAATTCCCAAATCATGGTGGATACTCTGGATCAATGGATAAGATATATGAAATCCAAACAGAAAGAAAAATACCAAGCATATTAAAGTAGATACGATCCCCTTCTGTTTTAAGCTGGGTACGCCCTTGTGGTGGAATATGTTGTGAAATGGTTTTAAGAATACACTTTTACATATGGAAATAAACCCCAATTTAAAATAAAAACATATTTCAGGTGAAGTCAGCCCTGCCAGCTATAGACAACCGCCCTCCACCATTCAGAGCGCACGTGGCCATTAAATGGAAGAAGCACCAAAAGGAAATAGAACGATGCAGTCAGATAGAACGAGAAAACTTCATTCTGTGGCAGAAAATGAACGATCTGGCCAAAACCAGCAGGATAGATAACGTGTGGAAAACGCCGCAACCGAATTTTCTTAACCGAGTTGCAATGTATGAGCTCATAGATGATCACATTCCGGATATAGAGGAGTTGCTCAAGTTAGATCTGGAGGAAACTGACGATGAAGAGCCAGCGAGGAGTAGGAAGTCTAGCTGTTACGCGTGTAATTCCAAGAGAGATGTGGAAGTCGTCAAGGTAGACATTAGAGAATTTCTAGTGCTCTTTATTTTCTGCTTCGTTATGATCTTCGGCATTTTGATTTTGCGCATTAACGAGACACTCTTTCGTTTTCCGTTATCGGTATAAGGAACTATTAGTGCTTAAAATACTCATATTATTGACTAATAATGTAATATCTCGCAAACCAGTCGGCCTACTCGTAAACAAGAGCATAACGTCATACCATGTATTTAAAAATATATTGCTCCTTAATTAATGCACATTCCATTTTTAGGCCCAATTCCACCAACATTAATATTATGGACCAATGGGAAAATACCTTATCGAAATGCAATTTGACAGAAGCTGTCAAAGGTCTCTGAATATTAGTGATTTCTATTGAAATATTGAATAAAGTCGTGAAAATTCGACTGTATTATAAACAAGACCACTTTTTGATTCCAACATGATGCTTTTGTACAGAAAAAACATTACAACTTTCATGTATTTTGATATATGTTATAGGTTTACATTTAACAATCCGTTATCTCCCTCAGCGAATGGGAATGCGGCAAGTAATAGGTCGATTTTGTAGCTGTTAAATTTGGCAGCAGATTTGGACGTTTGTTAATGCATGTCACTCTCGAATTTACCAACTTAAATATACTGAAAGTTATCATTACATACCTGTTGAATAGTGTGGATTTGTCTGTATATATAAGAAAATAGAATATAAAATACATTCCATCCAATTCCTCATCTTCCTTTACGTCATAATAGTAATCATTTATTAATTTATGGGGTAATGAATTTCTTCAAAGCAATAAAAACATTGTGTCCTCTCCATCCTAAAACACAGATAATCTGTGTAAGACGTTTCAATCCCTACATCTCCCTGATGCATAATGCAATTACTATGGACATAGACAAAAAATTATAAAAAATGTTTCACAAATAGTGTCTTTTAAGTCCAAAAATCATAAAAACTAGTAATGTTTATTGTTTTTGTTTGTTTTTTTGACTGGCGGGGATATCTATCTGTCACTCGCAGGGTTGCCAAGTCTAACGACGATCACGTCCCGTGGTGGAGGGTGCGAAAGGAATCTTTTACATTTGCTGGTTTTGAATTTTTTTCGTAAAAATTTACTAGGTATCATGATTATGAGCATCTTTGGTAGATTGTTCGATCCGGAATGGGAAAGATCTCCCATTTATGAAAATATTTTTGGTATCATCTAACCGTTGCAATCAGTGCACAAACACTGTGACATATGATTTATAGCATAACCCGCTGCCCTATCAATACAAATTTAACATACAGGTCGCCTAGCCGTGGGGATGCAGTGGTCGGGATGAATATCACGGCAGCAACTGATGATTTGGGCATGACTGGTAACAACGTATGAAGTGAAACTCGCTAACTTCACAAATTTGAAGATTTTGTACAATTTCTTTGAAAAGGATGAAAGATATGTCTGATTTGGCAGGGTAATGTCGCAGCCAAACGGCAGTCACTCTTTCAGACACAGTACGGATCGAAAGATGACGATACTCGTGAAATGTATTGATACTTCTAAATATAGGATCGTATCGAACATCCCTACTGTCAAGATGTATAACCCAAGGTACCGACGGAGCTATTTTGCGGCGTCATGGAAATAATTTTAAATTTTCATTTGCATTTTTAAAGTGTTGTACAAATGTCACGAATAGTCTTATAAAGCATAGTAGAGTATATTTCAACAGTTGGCAGAACTTACTCCACTGGGACCAGGAGGGTGAAACGGGATATTAATGCACAATCTGGCAACCCTGTCGCACCCTCACAAAATAGCCGCTGATAACCACACAAGTCACCGTGTTGTCATTAAATAGCATGGAATTAGACCTTCAGAGTGTATGTTTTGTGACTGGTAGCAAGAGTTGACAGAACCCATACATGTGTCACTCCTTGAAATGCAATAATCAGCTGTATTCAAATAATGTCTAATATAAATATAACCTAGAATGTGTACTCGTGGAAAAAGAAAAATATGGCAAATTTGTAGTTTTTTTTGCAGGTTTTAGGTTTGCTGGTAGCTTTAAGGCATATACATATTTGGGAATTTCTTAATCGCTGTGAATATAGTGTGGATGTTTGTTCGAAAAATATTCAACTTTATGGATGTATGGATATCAAAAAACCTGAATGGTTTTGGGGGAATATCAATCTAAGATGTCATAATGGTTCCGATGAACGGCAAGTAAATGAATGAATGTTTGGAAACGAGCAATATCTTTTGGTAGAGCCTGTCATCAAGTAGGTGCTTAATGGCTATCTGCAAGAGGTTTATAGGAAAAAACACACAGTATCGCATATCCATTGAAGACAATAATATAAACATGAACAAAAAATCAACAATAGTAATTAAAACATGAATTTAATTCAAAAATCAAACATTTCTTTAAATTATGACTGAATTATATGTAATTTCTTAATATTCAGTAAGCTGGTGATGTTTCAATGACAAGCTGTCATCTCATACTTTGACAGTATTTTGTTTTCAATATTTCATAGCTTTTGGTTGCCAAAATTTGTTGATTGGAACTTGAAGCTCATTCGTTGTATTTGACGGTCTGTTACCCTATAGGTGGAGAATAACGGACTGTTGTTGGTGAAATTGGCCCTTAATCTAGTATATTTTAAACACAGTATGCTATATTTTGGAGTAAAGAATCGAAAATAAAAACGATCGGAAAAACCCAAACTTTGATTTGAAATGTTTACTTCCGGTTTAGCACCTTTTTTTCAAATTTCAAATGTGATTTTTCATCACAGAGTAAAAAAAATTGCTATATAAAGCGCCCTGTTTAATATCCCAATGTGATACTTCAAAAAATTCCAATTTCAGTTATCGCTATTTTTTTAGACCGTAACCTAGCAAATAAACGTGCCACGAAAAGAAAATCGTCTTTTCTCAGTCCTACCTACTAGATGTACAAACAGGAACAATATGAGATAATTCTAAAACCTCACTTTCTTTTTGGTAAAATTTGGTAAAATTCAACAAATAGTAATTATGTAAATATTAAACTATTTCAGATCCCAGAAGATAGAGTCCCATGGGAGCCACCTAAAAAGCCAGTAGGCAGAGGTCGAAGCAGATCTGTCCCTGTTAGAAAACCGTCAAGTGTGTCTTCTATCAAAGAATGTAGCGACTTCAGAAAATCATCTTCGAAATCCAAACAAAAACCAATGACTGCTACAAGGAAGATAAGGTCTGCTACAGAAAAGGAGTTGAAATCAAGCAATATTAATGTCAGCAAACCTCCGCAGAATATTGAACTTAGTAGAGGATATTTGAATTTGAAGATCAATTTTCCTTCAGATTCTACGGTTAAGTATCAAGAAGGAAATGTACAGAAAATTTTAATGAAAGGAATTTGTTTTTGTAAAAATAAACCTTGGAAGTAGGTATTCGTATAATTAATATTCGAATCTATGTTTTCCTATAATCCTGCATTTACAAAACATTTGGCTGTAAATTTCCGGTGCCTATAATAAAAATAATAATAATATTTATTCACTCAATGTACAAAGAAGACAATGTCTTTGTATGGACCAATAATTTCAAGCTGTAACTGTAGAATACAAATTATAAAAAAATGTCAAGAATTAGTCAAAGTCGATTATGCATTTACTTGAAGTTCGTTCGTATTTATGAGTTTATGAATTTCAGTCATAGATATAGAATGTAGCCACTTTTTCAAATTTCTCTTTAAATAGTTTCCGAAATGTAAATCTTTTAAATCTTTTGGTATAATTTCATAAAATTTTGGCGCTAAATACGATGCTACGAATTTTGTACCTTGTATAATGATTATGTCTAATTTTTAATCGGTGTTGATAAATTTATCGTAGTGTGTAAGAAAAAAAACTATCTTATACATTTGTACATCTGCCTACGATTAGTCCGTGGGATAAAGTATCGGTTTAGTGAAAAATATCTAAATTATAAATATGTGCTGAATATGCAGATTCCCATGTTAATATACCATATGTGAGATGAGTCTCAATCAGTGTATATACGAATATACCTCGCTGCCAATATATCCGCAAGGTATTTAATTTTGTACGATACAAATCTAACTTTCTTTAAAATATAATTGACATCGATGTCCCAACGTAAGCGTAAATAAGGATCCAATACTATTTCAGGTATTTTATGTTTGGCACTTTATTAATTTGTAGTTTTTGATCTTTAATGCTGAAGAAGATATCTGTGTAATGCAAATGTTTTGCATAAGATGCAAATGGTAAAAAATGTGTTTTAGAATAGATAATGCTCAATTTCCAGCTATTGAACCACTGAATAATTTCGGCAAAATTATTTTCAATTACATTTTTTAGATGAGACCAGTCATTGCCTTCATATAATATATCAGTATCATCTGCACAACTGGTTATCTTGCCAACACAATGAATTTGGAAAATATCGTTTAAATATGTATTAAATAGTAGTGGATCTAAGACTGTGCCTTGAGGGGCACTAAGCTTGATATACATTTTCTTGCTAAATGACTTGGATATCTGGCCAGATTGTATGCGGTTTTATATTTAATTTTTGATCAGTGAGTATGCTTTTCTTCTAAAACTAATTCTCTCCAATGCTCTAATAATAATTTATGATTTACTGTGTCGAAAGCTTTCTTTAAATCAATAAAAATACAACTAGAAGGAATTTTGAAGATGACGACTTCCTTTCTGTAAATCCATATTACCTATATTTGACGCCATTCTATGGGGCCATTTGAAATCTATTGTGTTTACTCCCCAACCTGAAAGTTTGGATTAACGACGACAACGTATCATCGAAAGCTGCCATGATATCCCACAACATGTTTTTGAAAATGTCCGTCAGGAATTTGGACATCGCCTATATCATTGTTTGACCAATATTTTGAGCGATATTAGCGATAAAAGTGATATTTTCGTGTGTTTTTGTTTTCTATCTGAACGAATTAAGATAATTAAAGATTTTTCTAGTTTTCTTGAAAACGAATAGACTGACTTAAAAAATCAAATGTCAAAATAAAGGACTTCGAAAGACCTTTCAAACAAGCTGTTACTCGATAGCCCTTGTCATTTGAAATTTTTAAGGGAGTAACCCTGTGGGGCAGAGGGTGAAAGGGGGTGAAGTAGTTTTTGGTTGAAAAGTTGTCCCCCTTGACAAATCTTTTGACGTGTCTCGGCGTTTTTTCCTTTAATCAGTGAGTAGTTTTCAAATGAACACCCTATATATTGGCCGTCATCTGTTTTTATTTTCCTGATTTATGTATGAGTATTATATTCACTTTTTTTTATTGAGGGATATATGCCAGAATCCAAGCATTTGTTGATCAGGTAAGTGATTGGTTCTGTTATATCCTCGGCTATAATTTTCAAATACTCGCTTTTAATTCCATCGAACCCAGGACTTTTTCAATTTTTTAAGGACATAATAGTTGCTAATTTACCCAAAACAAATTAATTCAAAGATATAAGTTGAGTGTTGGGCATATTTGCTTGTTCTCGCCTATATCAGTAAAACATTCTAGTGTAAGTATTTTCATAAATCTAGTAGAATTGTGGGTGTTTTTGGGCTTTATGGCCTTTTGGTATTGTATTTACCACATGCACTATACTTGGACAATAAAACAATCCAAGTGATTTTAAAAGTTATAGAGGCGCATTTATATATATATATATATATACAGGGTGACTTTGAAGTTGAGTCATTAATTTTCAGATAATGATTGTAGAAGGAAGATAAACCAAAATATGTGTGTAAAAATAAAAAAAAAATGAAAAAAAAAAGTTTACCTTGTTTTATAAAGTATCCTCCCGACAAGTATTTCAGTTCGGACCTGTATTTGATCATGAGGTCTTGGAGCACCGGCATGCCCTCCCCTGTGAGGTCTTAAGTCACCTGATTCACGAGCCCGTTGTACTACATTAACAAAGGCACGAGGGGTTGGTTGCACTCGATTGGGAAACCGATCCGCATAAACATGTGCCATTTTTTATTTCGTTTGAGCCACGCAGCAAACACTACTATTCACTCACGCGTTACCGACTGACACATTGACTGAATAAAAACATCGTGATCAGCGTTTCAAATTCTTTCGCTTTTTTGTTTCCGATGCGATGAACCGATAAGGCGGATTATATCCGTTGTTGCCAAACACGAGCACATAATATTATTATTGAGACAGGGCGGTACTCAAACTTCTAAAGGGCTATAACTTTGTTACTTTAATTTTACCACAAAAATGTTAAAGGAAAAAAACATTTCTTTTGATCAGATCTACTCACTGTTAAAATAAATGACTCAACTTCGAAGTCACCCTGTATAAGAGCAGTACACCACTAACAATTATATTCTTGACGAATAAAAATATTAAGTGTTCAAAGTGACAAACCTGCTGTGACGTCTGTATTTATAATCTTGTCCATAAGAGCCGTCGATAGTACGACTTCATCAAAAACTGGGACCGAGCCGCCTACAAGACCAGTATTGCCACCTTGTGGACATACAGCTAACTTGCGTGAGTTGCAGAAACTCAAAATGCTTGATACATCATCTGTGGTTTTTGGTTTTAGAACACAACGGCTGTAACCTGCAATAAATTACAGTAAAGCATCAAAATAAAGTGGTAGGTGTAGTGCAAAGTATCGTACGCCGCTGTTTTAGAGTTGACTTGACTATAGTGATCCAATATTTGTATTTACCTTGATCAGTATTCATAATGTTTGAATGTACATATACCGCGCGTTTTAAATTCGAAGCACACCATTGGGATCTCGGAAACGGTAAAAGATACAAAGTCGCTTAAATGGGGGCAAGGTTCCGTATTTAGGTAACTAACAAAACGCGGCTTAGAAAGTTTCGAAATTTAAAGTACTTCCGGAGAGAGACGGGAAAAACTAATTTTCTCAATGTGATTTTAATTTTTTTCTGACTTTATCTGTAGTGGGGTTTCAATAAATTGCACACTAACATTGCCACTTTTTCTTCTCTACAAGATGGCATAATTAGGATCTCAATATGGCGTTTCATCTCCTGTCCTCAAGCATCAATCTTATTTTTTCTTTAGGAGGCAATATTATAATAACTACAAAGAAATGTTATAAACGCCTAAAATAAAATAAACATAAAATAAATATACATCCAGGGAAGCTACTCTTGTGCGTGGATGTATACTCATAGTAAATACTTTTTTTTATACTCCAACCACCACGAAGGCCTAAGGCCTAAACACCCATGGGGTACCGTGGGGCTATAGGGAATACAGTGGAACGCCACACGGACTCTGGCGAGAGAACACGTGTGCATGCAACATGCACACATTCTGGCCCCGCCTACGAGATCCGCCGGGTGGTACCTCCGCGTTCGACAGCCAGAGAGCGTCTACCACCTACGGACAATCACAACATCCATAGCCACTTCTTGATACTTCAGAGTGACAAGCCGATCTCTGCCGCTGAGTTGGAAAAATGAAGACTAGTGATGACTTCCTCTCTGACAAGAGACCTGGAGGCTATCACTGCTTGGGGACGCAACAATCTTGTACAGTTCAATGCTTCCAAAACGCAGTACTGTACTTTGACGAACAAAAAGCGTCCCTGCCCTCACCGGGTTTCGATGGATGGTGGAGTTCTGCCAAAGAGCCATTCATTTCGGCTGGTCGGAGTCCAGATCACCGAGGACCTGATCTGGCACGAACACATCTCGTAAATAACTGCAGCCGCTGGGAAAAAGCTAGGCTATTTGTTTAGCGCTGAGAAGTACTTTTCTCCGCATGACCTTCTCACTCTATACAAGGCCGAGATAAGGCCTAGCCTCGAGTATTGCTCACATGTTTGGGGTGCTGCCGCCCCGACTACATTATCCATACTCGATGCTGTCCAGAGGAGGGCGGTCCGACTGATCGATGACTCTTCTCTAACAGACAGTCTCGGGACTCTAGCTCTTTTCTACCGCTACACCAACGGGCTTTGCTCCTCAGAGCTCTCTTCCATGATGCCGCCGCGCGATGTGCCTGCTAGACAGACCCGCCTGACTTTGGCGTCCCATCCTAATCGTGTCGAACTTCGTACATCCAGAACCGGCCGATACGACCGCTCCTTTGTCCTGAGGGTGTCGAGATTGTGGAACAATCTACAAGAGGAAGCTTTTCCCAGTTCTATTAACCTTAGGCAGTTCAAAAATCGTATTAATAAAATTTCTTTGGGATCATCATAGCAGCCGCGGTGTTCCGGCATTTAGGCTTCTGCCTGCGCGGCTGCCTCGATATAAAAAAAACATACAAATACATATAAACACGTATAACATATGCTGGGACATGTGCAAAAATTTAAATAGTATATAATTTCATAAATTTAAATTAGAAAAGTTAAGTAATAAACAAGACCTTGTTTGATGCTTATATTTTAATATTTGAAAGACAATAAGTTAAACTGTGTAAGCCCTTCACAAATTAAAATAATGGAAGGAGAAAAACTGTTATTTATTTTTCAGATGAACTAGTT